TCTCTCTCTAAACAGAGTTTTTGAGCACTGAAACTTGCAATTAGTACCAGCTAAGCTAAAGCCCCTGCTCGCCCCTGCCCTAAGCCCCACATTCCAGGGCGCGGAGCGGGACGCTGAGCTCCCCCGGCACCGCGCAGCTCTTCCCCTCCCAGACCCGACTTTCTGCCGACAAACTCGATAAGGCTGCAGGAGCTCAGGAACACGCACTGAAACTCGGGCAGGGGAAAAATTGATCTCTCATCCCCAGCCTGGGTGGTTTTTTTTTTTTTATCCTCCCGCCCCCCACCCCCTCCTCCCTTTCTCTCCGCACTCACAGTAGCAAGGTTGTCTTTTGACTACTCCCTGCCTTAAACTCACCAAACCAGATTTTTACTCCCAACACCTTCCCGTAAATCTGAACTGAAATTTTACCCTGCTCGCTGAGCCTTGCCTGGCTGAGGGCCAGTACAGCATTCCTGTTGTTTTAAGAGGGCAGATAAAAAGAAAAAAAAAATAAAAAAGACGGGAAGGAAGGAAGAAAAGAAAGAGGGGAACCTGAAGAGATGCAAAGGCTAGAAGGAAGCAAACTTTTAGAGCACCTTTAATAAAAATGTTGTGGGAGGGAGCGATTCCCTTTTATCTTTAGAGGGCTAAACCGGTGATTGTTTTTTGGCAGTGTCAGTCATGAGAAAATACTCTCCCCAGCTGTCTGCATCCTTCAGGTGGATGGAGATTTGAAAAGAAAATAAACTGCTGGTACTCACCTGAAGGATGGCATTGCCGGCGTCAGCATGGCAGGGAGAGGAGCCTACACCTTTGCCTGATCCGGTTTACCCCAAGGCAGCGGTAAAGTCGGTTAAACAAGTGCCACATTTTACCCTTTTCTGACCTAAAGTTACATGTGGTTTCTAGAAAAGGAACAAAAGAGAAACCAGTTTATAAAAAAAAAACCCCAAAAACAAAAAACAAAACAAAACAAAAAAACACAAAAAACCCAAAACAAAACAAAAAACCAACACCCAGCCAAGCCTTCTTTTAACCTCCGGGTGATCCCTCTGACCGTTGTCTGGAAGGTTTAAAGAAACAATGAAGCAAGACTGTAAACTTTCTCACCCCCTTTTACATTACCTGTCTGTGCCTGGCTATGGGCTTTGATGTATTGAAACAAAGCACAAGACCTGTTTATAGTAAATGAAACCAACCAACAGAGAGATCTAATTCAGACTTGTGACTAAACAAACTGGAACAGGAAGCACACAGCAATTTTTTTTTTTTTTTTTGGTAAGTAGAAACTCCTGCTTGCATTGTCATGCAACAGTAAAAATAAAATAAAAATTAAAAAAAAAAAAAAAAAGGAAAACATTTCCAGCTTCATTGTCACTTTTGTTCAAATGCAGGTGGGGTTTTTTTTGAGGTTTTTTGGTGTTTTTTTATTTTTCGTAAAGCTTAATACAGGCAATGTTTCATCACGTATATGCAAATATTTAACAGAACAACATTTACCACCAGTAGTGATCTAAAGATCTTATTCTTATATTTGTTTCCCTGTGCAGGACGTTTCTGCAACTGATCAGTATCCCCCTCCCACCAATTAACATCTGTAAATGATGACTATATGGAGGATCTTCATCTAGGATAGCTGCACAAACAGTAGATTAGTAGTCCTGAAAATTAAATCTTTAAAGAATAAATAATATTGGAGGTTAAAGCTAGTGACAGAAATTAATTAGTCATAATTCTTCCTAATTTTAAAATATTTTAAAATTCTTAATTATTAGGAATTATTAATTAAGCATTCTTCTTAATTCTTAATTTCTAAAAGAAATATTCAGAGTTGAGTACACACTACGCTGCTTTGTTACTGTTATATTACCTATGCTTTTTGAAAGCAGTTTGTCCTTCTAAACATCTGTTTCTCTAATTGTATTCATTTTTCAGTAGAGAAAAATCCCACAGGTTTGACCTAAGCAAATCCACCTTGACTCCCTAAGAGAGTTTTGCTTTGGGCAGAAACTGATGAATCAAACTACTATTGGGATAACACATAAAGCTACACAGCCAATTGTTGCAAAGTTCAAGTTAGCAGTGTGTCCCCTCCAAACTATCACAATTCAAAACCCCTTTGATAAAGGGATGTGATTCCAGTTTCAGCAAATGCATCAAGCATAAAAAAAAATTTCAGAATTTAGTAGTATTAATGAGCAAATAATCATGGGGAAAATTGTTGTCAAATACTTGAATTAAAATGAGAATCCAGCATTATCTGCAAACACTTTATGCAGTTAAATTCTTTAAGGAAAAATAGTCCAGAAAAGCAAATAATTAGGGTCTTAGTGGTACAAAAATCTCTTAAGTATTCTAGCATCATCTTCCTTAAAATCATGGCCTGTTTGTCCAAAGTGAGGCTTTTCCACAGTGTCTTCATCCAATAAGTTTGCCAGTAAAGTTCTGAGGAAATCCATCTCACACAGAGAGAGCTTATGCTCCACTTGCTCTGTTTGGAGGAGCAAAATTAGCATTACTGGCAGAAGTACTTCTTTGAAAACATGTACTGATTACTTCTAAATTAGAGTCTCTGTAATACAATGAATAGTATAGAAAATGGAAAGACTTATGAATGTACTGTCCTGCATGTCCAGGACACAGCTATACTACCACGAGCTGTGGTTGCACCAGTGCGGTAAGACAACTATGTAAGGGTATGCTGCTAAAAGGGTAACTCTGCCTGTTTACTGACTCTTCACATGTGTGTGTGGGTCTCACCTCTGACTGACATACCTCTGAAAACCAAAAAATTCCTCCTATTTTAACAGCTGTACTAGTTACCCTACCACGAGACTTCCCTGTTAGTGCTGGTCAGACTGGATTCAACATCTCTCTGTAAGGCAGTTCATGCCTTTCTGGTGGAGGATTCAAATAGGTTTGCTTACAAGATACCAAAGATAGGAAAGAGTTTGACATTTTCCTTAGGGCAGTTCAGCTGCAGGTAAAGAGTGTTACAGCACGTGGGGATTTTAGTCAGGCCACAGCTCTTTCAACAATTAAAATACCGTTACTGCTGGCTCTGTCTCTGTGTGACAGACACTTTCCATGGACTCAGGTGAGACTGCAAGGTACCACATCTGTCTGCAGATCCCTGCACGTACCGGGATGACCACGACACATCTGCTCACAGCTTTTTAATGGATTTCCAAACTTTGGTGAGGACAGTGCTTTCTACACTGCACAGTTGCCAACAAAACAGCAGTGCAAAACCTCCGCTATTGATTGTTTGTAGCAATAGAGAATTTCATACTGTACTCCGATTCACAGATTCCAGTTCAAAGGTAAATGTTGTCAGGTTGTTCCTGACGTGCATTTTCTTTTCTCAGCACACAGCAGCCATTCAGAAGACAGTAGCAATTCAGAAAGGTCTCTTCTTGATCACCAAATACTGGATCTATCACAAGCTGAGATGGGATGAAAGCATCCTTGAAAATTTACGATCAGTTGTAGGGACTGTTGCCACTGGGGGTTCAGGTCATCTAAAATTAAACATTAGATCTAATTGATCTAATGGCAGTCTGAGACATTTTTAACATCAGAATAATTTTTCTCCCTCTGTAAATCCCAATTGTTCAGCTGACAAAATGTTTTAGGGGGTTGTGGGCTCTACATAAGAAGAAAAGAGTGACCCACCCGTAATTTGCTGCAGCACCCTTCAGTCTACAGGTTAAAATGAAAGAGCAATCACAACCCTGCAGCATGGAGCAGAGATTTCCTGTTCCTCTGCCAAGCCATGGTAGGGTTTCTGACCAAAATAAAAGAATTTAATGAGTCCATAGCAAAGCAAATTAAGCTAAGTGCAGCATGATTAGGCTGTGAACACTAATCTTTAAAGGCAACAGTATTTGATTAAGGAAGGCATCCTCCAAAACTGATCTTAAAATTGCAGTAAAAACTAACTGGCTATGAACATTCAAAGTTGGGGAGCTGAGGGTTTTTTTTTGGGGGGGTGTGTCTACCAGTTTATAACGTTTCTTTATGAATATGGCTTATTGTGGTATCAATTGTGTAATACCTATTGTACAGTTTATCACTACTGCCAAGGGCTGTCTTTCCTGCAGCAAGAAACTGCATGTTGAAAGTTTGGCGACTGCATTTCATTCAGGAGATTAAGAAAAATCTTTTTTTTTTTTTTTCCCTAATTGGGAGACTATGAAAAACACAAGTGAGAAAGTGTGTTACTCAGTAATTAAATGTTTCTAAATATTAGAAAACTAATTGGACAAGTAAAATATTCATTACTTCTGTAACAACAACAACAAAGTTTAAAGGCCTATATTTCAAGTCTAAATTTTTGTTTAAACTTTTTAACACAGAATGTTTCCTAGTACAGGTTAAATATTTTGGTATAATTCAGTAAGCAAAGACAGTCTGCAATTAAGTCAGTCATCTTACAGTGATATTTTCTCCAGTTAAAGTGGAAGCTTCGAGAGTGAACATTTCTGATAGTGGTCTGTGGAATGCTATAATTTCCTACATAAGAGGCTTAGTGTGTGACACAGCACAGGCCTCTCCTCCAGAGAGGTCTTGCAGGGAGCAGATCTGGGACCCCATTTTTCAGGAAGAGGGGATGAGACAGACAGGGGCAACTAATGAGCAGAAGGAAAGAGAGAGCCTAACAAAGCCCTTGCAGATCTTCGGTCTCCCAGGACCATCCTGTCTTCTGTCCCATCCACTCTCCTGGGAGCTGGCTGAGGCCAGCGTAGCATCAGAGCAGAAAAATCATCCCTTTGTCAGCACAGTCGAAAGAATCAGAGCTGGCTCTTTCTATAGGTTTAAATGCTTCTTACCAACAAAGCTCCTCATATTGTAAACATTCCACTTCTCCTCAGAATGCATTTACAGGCATTTTTCTACTGGTACCAGTAGAATTTAATTATTTAACTCTTATCAATTGGGATGCACAGAGAGATCCTGTGGCTTGGATACAATGCCGTTTACTAACAAAACTTGTCTTGGTTTGAGATCATTTTCCATCAAGTCCAAAAAAGTGTAATATAAGAGAATGAATTTCCTTTCAAAGATCAATAACTTCATGAAAGGCATTACAGACTTGTACAGAAGAATTTGTTTAGAAATGTTTTATGAGCAGGGGGAAAATCATGTCTCTTCATGTGGTCATGAAAACACCTCATTACATTGAATGCAGAAGTTTAATGGAATAGCTCAAATTATTCTTGATTATCCATATTACAAGGATTACAATCTGAATTATTAAGAAATTCTAGCAGCTGAGATTATTTCCTCTTGTCCTCTCATGTTTTGCCACCTGTGCTGTTTTCTCTCTGATACTTCCATACCGGCCGATTGCAATCTCTGTCTCTGTGGCTTCCCTCCCTCCCTCCCTCCCTCCCT